TTTTAGAACGTGTTGAAGAAGATCCAGAATTAAGCACCAGACGAATTGGAAGGGAACTAGGAGTAAGTAAAGATGTCGTTCATAAAGTGCTTGGAGAACAATTGCTATATCCATACCATAAGAAGCCAGTACAAGAATTATTAGTCCATGATCCTCAAATTCGTTTGGGTTTTTGTCGATTTGTTAATATGCAAAGAGAAAGAGATCCAAACTTTGTCAAGAAGGTTCTCTTTACCGATGAAGCGGGTTTTACAAGAAGAGGTATAACTAATACCCATAATGAACATGTTCATGCCGTTGAAAATCCGCATGCAATAAAGGTAAACCATTTTCAGCACGAATTCAAAATTAATGTGTGGGCTGGAATAATTGGTAATTTCATTGTTGGTCCTGTTATACTTCCACGAAGATTAACTGGAGAAAATTATTTGGATTTTCTACAAAATACGTTGCCAGAATTGTTAGAAGATTTACCTCTCCAACTTCGGAGAGATATGTGGTTTATGAAAGATGGAGCTCCACCACATTTTTCTTTAAACGTTAGAAACCACTTGAATGAACAATATCCACACAAATGGATAGGTAGAGGTAATGACGCACCTGTAAACTGGCCACCACGTTCCCCAGACCTAACACCGATGGATTACTTTTTATGGGGACATCTGAAATCCACAGTTTACAGGGAACCTGTAGAAAATGAGGAACAACTCTGGCAACGTATTCAAGATGCAATAAACAATCTTAGAGGTGATGAAGAAGTTATGGAAACCCAGGCAGCACACATTAGTATAACTAACGAATTTTATACGTAATACTCGTTTAATTTTGGTATTGGTTGATTCCGTATACGTTTACGATTATTATACATACCGTGTTTTAAACGATATATTATACGTTTTTTATATACATCCTATGGTATATAATTGTAAATTTGTCTACGTTTAAATATAGTTAACAATATACGACTATTTTTAGTTTGCGATGAACTATTTATATACAGTGGGCCTAAATATACGTTTAGGTTTATTTAAATTAAATTCGTATAAATTTACATTATTATACAATATGTTTTCTTCGTTTATAATTCCCGTTTAAATTTCGTCTTGGTTGATTTTTTAAACGTTTACCATCTACCATTTTTATACTTAACGTTTTTTAACAAATAAATTAAACGCTTTTGTTTGTCGATACTAGTTAATATACCTATATTATTCTACGTTTAAATATAAGTCACCTTAAACGCATATTACCAGTTTACGATGAACTAGTAGACAGAAGTAAATAATATGTATATATTTAGGTTTATTTAAATTAAAAGCTTATAGATATATTTATTTACATTACATCCACATTTTTTTAATTATATTACCTGTAATATTTATAACAAATTCCCCATACACATGGAACTATTTTTAGATGGCGGATGGAGGACGACGTACTAGTGGTACGGTCTTTTCTCATTTCTACTCATGCGTATGTGTAGTATTATTGTTCAGTGTAGGGAATGGTTTGTGGGAGCAGGTTCATCGGTTCGTCCATTTTAATTTGTGTACACGTTTTGTTGCATGTTTCTTTGGCGTCCTGGCTTTTACAATATTGATTAAAAGCATAGGTAAGTTTCTATTAATGTTTTAATTTAGCTACTCCTTTAATAATTGTTGCATTTTACAACAACTACTGTTTTATAGGTACGTACAGTGTGTTAAATGATTATAGAAACTTCAAAACATAACCTTACTTTTGTTTCTTTTATTTTTTTACGTATTTTTTAGGTTACGTAGTTATTTCAAGCATACTTATTATACTTATTTTCCTTTTTTTTTGACAGTTGTTTTTTATTTAATAAAATGTCTAAAATAACTCTGTCACTGCGTCATCTACGTAGAAAAATAGCGCAAAATGTTCAAGATGCTTTAAAGTCAAATCAATTTATTTTTATTCCCAGTGAAGATAACATTAATAAGGCTTCGGACATTAATATATCATCTGATTCTATTATTTATAATAATTTCCAAGAAAATAATACGAATTTAATTTCGGAGCTTTTAGAAAATATTTCACCTGAAATTAAGTTAGATTTTCGTTATAGGAATGGGGGTGGACCAAGCGACTTAACCGACCGAACGATTAGGTGTGCCATGCAAGATTAGCTTAAGTTAGCTAAGGCCCGTCCAAAGTGTTAAGCTAAGATTTTTATTTTCATATATATTTTTTGTTAGTTAAAGAAAAGTTTCGTTTAGTTTGTTATTCAGTATTTTAGTGTTCATTTTTTTGTATTTATTTATTTTTTAGTATTTTATTGTTTATTTTTTTTATAATTAAATATTGTTCTGTACATATAACAAGTGATCAAAAAAAATTTATAAATATTTAGGTCAATTACAACCAAAATATAAATACGAGTAATGCCTATTTCTGGTGTATACACACACCTGCTATGGATAAAATCTAAACTATCATTTAGGAAATATTAACATTTTTCCATGGCCTCTTTTAGAAATTTTTTTTTGATCACTTTATTTAATTTGTGTTTGAAATACATTTAAAACAATATCAGTTAGACGCATTTTACACATTAATAAAAACAGGATAATTAAAGGTAGATAAAGTAGTAATGTTAGACGTATAAAAAATAAAAAAAATATACGTTTATAGGACGGACATTTTCACGTATATATTGGGTAGCATATCAACAGTATCCATACGTATATTGTAGTACATAAAAAAACGTATTTTATACCAAAGTGAATTCGTATAAATATACTACAACTATAAATCCAATATAGACGTATAGTAAAAACGTTTAATTATAGAGGATAAATTCTTAGTAATCGACGTTTATAAGGCGGACATTTTCACGAATATATTTGGTAGTACATCAACCGTATTCATACGTATGGTAGTACCTAAAAAAATACATAATTTATACCAAAGTGTGCTGCCTGGGAAAGGATACATTTTAATTTTCTTCGACGTATAAATCTTTGTATGCGTGAAAATGGTGAACATTTTGAACAATTTTTGTAAAATCTCTATTTTGATTATGTTGTAAATAAATATTTTTGTGGAACCTATACACTCTAAATTATTAAAACAGAAATTTAAAGAAAACCATGAGAGTAATCGAGTCTTATCAAGAGTACCTTTTTTAAAGTAAATGAGTTGCGCAATCTAAATTTCATACTCAAACTCCATTTCTTCCATTGGCGTAGAATTTTTAAAGGTGCAATTATTTAAAAAATCAAGTTCTACGCCTATGTATTATTATCGGACAAAATTTTAATACCATTTTTTTTTGCCACATAAAACTCTACCAATATACCAAATATCAGCAAAATCGCATATGCCGTTTTAAATTTATATGGGAAAAACGATTTAAAAATTGTAACTTCAAGGCCCTCTGGAGCCCAAACGAAGCAACTTTGTACTAAGGTAATTTTACTTAAATCGACTTATTTTGGTCTAAGGAATATGTGGTATGTTTTTGTAAAGACCTTTTACAGACACCCTGTATATCTTGGAAACCGGTCCTGATGTTCTCGGTTTTAAAACATCACTAAATTAGTCTTGAAATAGTACAACTTTTTTCCCATTTAACCGACTCTGTAACTCTTACGGTTTTCGACATATAAAAATTAAAAAAATAGCCACCCTGTATACTAGATATTATATAGATAATCCTGAAACTTATAATTTAGTTAACAACTTGGCAACGTTGTTATTTTCAATACAGAATCTGATCTGTCATAATGAAGTAAATATTTTTGTTTTCTGTGTTTTGTGCATATAACCTGCAAAATTGAGGTTTTTTTATTGGATTTTTTTCGAAAAATGCTAGTTTTTCAGTAAATTTGTTTACGAAACTTTTGAGTATTTAAAAATATGTGAAATTCACACATACGGATTCCTCGAATTGCCCTAAATACGCGTTTTACTATACTTATTTATTGATATATTTTTATTACACCTTTTTTTCTATACAATTTTTTTCGTAACCCTCGTATATACCTACAGCTATTTAACATAAATGTTTGCTGCAAAACTAATATTTATAAAATCTCATTTTACTTATATTTATTCTGCTATTTAACGCAGAAATGTTCGTTCTAGAAATAAAATATCAAAAACCGTTTTTTACTTATATTTCTTTTGTCTGGTTTATTTATCGTTTCTTTTTTAATTCGTTTGCGCAACATTTATTTGTTTCCCTAAAATTATCGCGCACACAAATCAAAATATTCTTCAACCGCAATTATATCGATATAAACTCACCCTTTTGACTTGGAAGTGCTCGGATCTCAGCGTCTCCTGGATCTCCTGGTCCTGTCTCGGCGGTTGAGCAACAGAGTTGCGAAAATTGTCCAATACGCCTTTGAAAGTGAACTTCTTCATAACTTCACGTCTATCGTCCTTTTCACGCCTCATCACACCATTACTTTGATCAACGTCGCGATAATGAAAAAAACGATTTTACGGTAATATCGCGAAAAAAAACTCCTTTTTTATTCCATCTGCGAGATTACACCATTCTGCAGCAAAAATATCGACTTAAAACAGAGCTTCGCCTATGTAACGTCGCGTACACTCAGGAATGTATACAATGCGCTTTCCGAACCCGGACTTTTAGCGATATTATCCTTCTGGAAAGCGTCGCGACGACCTAAAACTCGTTCCGTTCTCACCGACTTGCGGGTTGATCGTAAAAAAGTCAATATCGCACGAACGGCACTGGTTTCGCACTGTTTTCAATGCTGCGCTAAAAGCCCGCACGTCAGGGCGCAAGCGAAATTTGCACCACTATTGTTTCTCGTAAAATAAACACCGAAATACACCCCGTCAGCGAAGGATTGGCTAGATAGCAACACCCCAACGTTCGATGCGTTTTATCTACTATACTTCAATTCGATACACCTTGACAGATCGATACGACACAAAAAAAATACCACATGTTGCTTGGGATTCAAATTAAAACAAATCTTATCGTATCGCTTCTTTTTTCAACGCGATCGAAAGACAAAGATATCCGAATGTTGATACGATAATGCGACACTACCTGTTAACTGGAACTACTGAACTAACCCACTTAAAAACATTCAACGTTTATCGACAACAGCTGATTGTGGTTTATTTTTCGTTATGTTATGTTTTTCGACGATTTAAATCCATTTCCATAGTAGATCAAACTAAAAAATGTTCTTCAAAGTGTTTATAAAGAACTGTACGCTTCTGTACTACCAGAGGCAAACGAAAATCGGTAAATTGAGGTAAGTTTGAGGTTATGTTTCGTTCAAGTGGGTAAATTTAAATAAAATTTACTATTTTAAATGGTTTATGAGGTATATTTATTATATAATTGAAATCTATATCAAATTTCCTTTGCTAGAATGGAATTTAGTAGTGTTTTTAATCCAAAATGATAGGAAAAATATATCATTCCAAATTCTAATAAAATGTTATCTACTACATTATTATAATAATATTCTGTGATAATAGTATAATAGACAGTTCAAACGATAAGGAAAAAGTATATATTGGTGTCTATTTACTTTAAATCCCTTAAACTAACCTCAAAATAGCGGAACAGTCTGAATTTGCTTAAAAAATAGTCTTTTTGGCCTCTAAAACAAATAATTAAGGAAAGAATTAATGTAGAAGGGTGGGGAGATGAATATAATTTAAATTTAATTAAAAAAATGGCCAGTATGTCGATGAAATGTTGAAATTTTATTAATTATATTTGCTACATCTTGTCTCACTTGGATAATAGAATAATAACCATCTTTTTCAAATGTTTAAGTATATTATTTAAAGTCAATATCTAATAGAAGCAAATTAACTTTATCTTGGTAAATTGTTCGCAGTAACATAGCCAAAAGAGCAGAAAAGATGTACTGTAAGTTTTTATTTATATTTGCAGTCGTGGATCAAAAAGGAATACAAATATTTTACCAGATAAAACAATGAAAATTAAGGTCAGTTTGATATATAAACGAATGTACGAAACTTTAAAATAATGGAAATAAAACCAATCAAAGGGGGGAAAGCAAAAAAAAAACAATTTTTTGGTCCTAACTTCCAACCGGAGCTTAACTCCAAATTTCTTGTAGAACTTAGAAGTTTTATATAATTTGATTTAATGGTAAAACAAAAGGAAAGATAATTTCTAGAGGGGTGCTTTAAGAAGATGGGTTGAGTATATTTTGAATACTTTGGGGGTCCAGCATTTTTCATTTAAATACCTGTAGACTAAATAATAAAATTCATTAACTAGGTATTTTCTTTAAAGCGATCATTCACTAATAAAAAATGAATTGAAAATTATACAATTTTGTGGTTTTGCCCTAGTATTCTGTTTCTGTAGAGAGCAAATATAACAGGAAGGGATCGAAATATTTAACAACAATACAGTAAGGTTGTCGCCTGTCCTTTTTTGAAAATAACAGTCCTTTTTCAAACAAATTGTCCAAATTAATCCTCAAACTATCAGTTTTAATATATTTAGACTGTTTGGCACTAACCAAAGAACCATAATTAATTAAAAGTAGAGGTAGAATTATCAATTTTGATACTATTAATGAGAATTTATCTAGGGTTGAAAAGAATTATAGATTAAGGATTAATGACAAGCATAAAGATTTTTATTAGAAAGTAATGAGGGTTTTAAATGTAGTGGCACCAAATTAAGATTTTTCCAAAGTGTATGCAACTAAAGATATGACTAAAGTTTACAAAAATTATGTATCAAACAAAACAGAACAAAATAAAGAATTATATAAACAAAAACTTAATATGGCTGTTAAATTCTGATGCCTTGGTAGGATTCCCTACTCGACCATTCACTGTTGGGTAATAATTAACACTGCTGTTCCTAAAGTGGCGCTGGGAAACAGTAACAAAGCCTACACAGAACACGAGGCTAATAACCATAGCAGTTGTTGCTGATGACACAAAAAAATTTATTAGAAATGAAAAGAAAATATTTTGACTCTCAAACTATGGAAAATAAAAGTAATTCTATTAAATTATGAAATATAATGAAGGAACTATTACAAAATTACTTTGTAGAAATTGAAGTAAATGAAAATGTATCTATAAAAGACTTAATTGAAATGCCAGATGCCCTTAACACATATTATATTGATAGTATGATTGACTTAGTATCTAATATAAATCAGAATGTTAATAATTTTCCCATTATTATTAAAAATGATGTTGTAAGTCTTAAAAAAGTTTAATCTTGTTAGTTTTGATAGTTTAAAAGAAATTGTTTCGAAACTATTGCTAATATATTGATAAATATAATAAATTCCTTGTTAGAAACTAATATGGTTCCAGACAACCTAAAAAGTTCAATAGATAAGGTTGAGAATTCAAATAGGGCAGTGAACTTATATCATGTTAATATGTTATGTACAATAGATATTTTCTTTAGAGGAAGTAGCATCTAATCAACTAATTCAATATCAGAAATGTCGCCTCGTTTAATACTTTTACAATATCAGTAATATATTTTTTGTAATTTTATATAAGTTTCGGACATTAGTTTATGTAGCAAACGAACCTTAATTTTCATTGTTCTATCACCCCCTAAAGTATTTGTATTCCTTTTTGACTCACCTTGTATATTTTTATCCTTTAAAAACATACAAAACAGTATGAATTTGTATGAAAAATGTTTTTTAGGACAACAAAACAGGTTATTAAGAAAGGAGAGTTAGCAAATGAAAATAAATTATATTTAATCAAAAAAATAGCTAGTATGTTAAACTAACTGCAAGGGAGGCAAACCATACTTAAATTTTGTTTATCTACATCCTTTTGGTGGAAATAAATTCTTATAGATGCTCATACTTCCTTGTAAATACTTAAACATCCTCATAATTTTTATGATTTTCCTTATACATCCTTATAAATCTTTATATAATCCTCCATACATCCTGATACTTCCTCAAATCCTCATACTTCTTTGTAATCCCTTAAACATCTTCCATTCTTTCCATAATATCCTCATACTTTCTTAGAAATCCTCATGAATCCATCATACATCCTCATAAATCCTCATATTTCCTTGTAAATCCTTAAACATCCTTATAAAGCTTTAGAAATCCTCTTAAAGCCTTAGAAATCCTCATAAAGCTGTAGAAATTCTTATATCCTTCACACATTTTTCAGACTTAGAACTCCTCATACTTCCTTGTAAATACTTAAACATCCTCTATATTTTCAATAATTATCCTTTTACATCCTTAGAAATCCTTATAAATCCTCCATACATCCTCATACATCATCCGTACTTCCTCAAATCCTCATACTTCTTTGTAATCCCTAAAACATCCTCCATATTTTTGTGAATATCGTCATACTTCCTTAGAAATCCTCATAAATCCATCATACATTCACAGACTTCCTCATACTTCCTTGTAAATCCTTAAACGTCCATACTTTCATGAATATCCTCATAGAGCTTAAGAAATCCTCATAAAGCCTTAGAAATTCTCATATATCCTTCATACATTTTTCATACTTCCTCAGAACTCCTCATACTTCCTTGTAAATACTTAAACTTCCTTCATATTTTCATGATTATCCTTATAAATCCTTTTAAATCCTCGATACATCCTCATACTTTCCCAAATCCTCATACTTCTTTGTAATCCATTAAACATCTTCCATTCTCTTATGAATATCCTCATACTTTCTTAGAAATTCTCATATATCCATACATTCTTAATACTTCCTCAAAACTCCTCATACTTCCTTGTAAATACTTAAATATCCTCAATATTTTTATGATTATCCTTATACATCCTTATAAATCCTGCAAACATCCTCATATGTCCTTCATATTTTCTCAAATCCTCATACTTCCTTAGAAATCCTCATAAATCCATCACACATCCTTAGAAATCCTTATACTTCCTTGTAAATCCTTATACTTCCTTGTAAATCCTTAAACATCCCCCAAACTTTCATGAATATCCTCATAAAGCTTTAGAAATCCTCTTAAAACCTTAGAAATCCTCATAAAGCCTTAGAAATTCTCATATATCCTTCATATATTTTTCTTACTTCCTCAGAACTCCTTATACTTCCTTGTAAATACTTAAACATCCTCAATATTTTTATGATTATCCTTATAAATCCTGCATACATCCTCATATGTCCGTCATATTTTCTCAAATTCTCATACGTCTTTGTAATCCCTTAAACATCCTCCATTCTTTCATGAATATGTTCATACTTCCTTAGGTCCTCATAAATCCATCACACATCCTTAGAAATCCTCATAAATCCATCACACATCCTTAGAAATCCTTATACTTCCTTGTAAATCCTTATACTTCCCCCAAACTTTCATGAATATCCTCATAAAGCTTTAGAAATCCTCTTAAAACCTTAGAAATCCTCATAAAGCCTTAGAAATTCTCATATATTCTTCATATATTTTTCTTACTTCCTCGGAACTCCTCATACTTCCTTGTAAATACATAAACATCCTCAAGACTACTGTTAAGTTGTATAGAAAAAATCTTATAACAATATAAAGTGTTTTCTAAATACCCCGAATAATACTTTTTTTCTAGAATATCAGTAATATTAACCCACATTCATTCACTATTCAAAAAATGATCAAATGTAACTGTCCCCTTAGCCGTGAAAGACCCTGTATACCAAACGATTAATAATAATTATTCTTAGCTACACTTAAATCGAAAAACTTTTAACGCCGCTCATGCCTGCTAAAAAATAACATTGAATGTCAATAGAAATAAAAACTAACCATAAAATATGTTGTAATAATTTGTTTACAGAAAACAGCTGAACTTAAATCGAAAAGACTCACCATTTGAAGACTCTCATTCCTCCTTCGCCCTCTATCCCATTTGTTGTTCCAGTATTCATTTCAGCTTCTCAGTAATATCCATTATTTCCAGTAGATTCTCCCGATAAGCGCGTCCGGACATATCTTCTATTCCCGACAACATTAATGATCATCGTATCATATTCAATTCCATAACAACCCTTTGATACGTAATTTTATATCTCCGGGTAGTATGTCTGCAGCCTTGTCCATTTGATCCTAGAATGTACACCCCAGGATATATATTCTAGGAACAAACGTCTTTATTGTTAGAAGTGAAATGAACATGAGCTCAAACCATTTACATTGTGCTACCGATTAACTGTCGAAAAATTTGCGACGATTTAAAGTTGTTTTAACGGAGATTCGCTGAAAAGAAAAACAATTAATAGAATTTTTTAT